ATACGGTTTAATTTTTTTTTTTATATGACAGATTGTTTATTGACTAATATGTATAATATATTGAAATTCTACGATACCTATTCGCCCCCTCCTTAAGTGAGATTCAGATCCGCTACTGTGTAAAACTGTAAGCTATCTACTGATACGTTTTTTAACTGACGGAAAAAAGTCACAGTCTTTAAGAAAGTATGAAATATTATATTCTTCATTAATTGTATGATAATCAATTTTCTTTTTTCAATGTATCAGTTATAATATAATTATGTTTAAATGATATTAAATGTATAATAGACACTGAAAATCTAGGGAGGGCATGTCCCCCCCTTGCCCTCCCCAAAGAACGTCCTTGGTGGATCACACCTAATGGCTAATACATTTACATAGTACATTGTACATATAGTTATAGTGCCATTTTACTTAGTAATTAGTTTCCGTTTTATATATTGTATATTAAAGCGCTTCACTTATGTTCTTCTCGCTAATACCTACAACTGCCGAAACTAATTGTCTAATAGGTACAAAGTTTAAATAAAAAAATAAAAATATTAGTAGCCTAATAAAATAATAATAATAATGATAATGATTATACTATCACATTATTATTATTGTGGCGTACGAGGAAAATGTTGTCGTTGAATTCCCTCGTAGCCAACATTTTTGCGTATTATTAGAAGAGTGGTAGGTAGATAATGATGAGAAAAATACGAGAGAACACATTGAGTTTATTATTGAACCGAAAGACGTCGTGTAAAAATGACAATTTAATTGAATGATAAAGGTCGCGCCGCCACTCGCCGCTGCGGTGGTAGACGGCGCGCGGCTGGTCGTGGGAGACGCGTGCGCGGTGCGGTCTCGACTTGTCGAAGAGAGACGTTACCACCACAGACACCGCACGCCGCGACGTCCGTGGTGGGTGACGCCGCGACTAGACGGACGCGGGTCGGTATTGCCAACCGTAGCAGAGAGGGAGGATGGCTCACCACATTATTATTGGTATTGTTGTTGTTGTTGTTGTTGTTGTTGCGATACAACACTCGGCGGCGGCGGCGGGAGAACGAGTACGATCGTATAGGCCGGCGCCGCAGAATACGAACGGAGCGGCGACCGGTCGTGATAGAATGCGTTCGTCGCACGGTTTACGCGATCGGCGTTCGCGGTGGGGCGGCGTGCTCCGAAAACGATAAAATAATATTATCATGTAGACGAGGGCCACCGGCTCTGTATCGTGTTTCGACGACTTTCGGCCATGGACCGGGCGGTGGATGTGCCGCCGTCCAGCCGGTACCGTATGGTGGCGGCCGTTAACCAGGAATAATATAATAATATTATTATGACGTAAACATTTTGTTGAAAGTGAAGCTTGACGCACTAGTGATCTTAGCATTAATATAATAAGTAATAACACGACAATATGATTATGTATAAGTATAATATATAATAACGTACAACTGACAATTTAAACTGTGACTTGTAGTAAGCGAGTTACTACTTAACAAATAAAACAAATTCCACAGGTATACAATTAGTATACTATACTGTAATTCGGCATAAAGCGGATATTAAAATCGGAAATAGGATTTCCTACTGGTTAACATAAGGAAACAGGCTCACTGAATAATATAATGACTCAGGAAGCACTGTATACGACAATATTCAAAATATAAAATATAATAGAGTAGAATGATTATTTTCATGAAATAGACCATAGATTAACATTTTAGTAATACGCAGAATAATACTGGGAAGTCATAAAATGCGTGGGCTGGAACCATTGACATAATATAATATTTATTAACATATTATGTCAATGGCTGGAACGATGACCACACCAGATCACATCCGTGTGCCGAGATACAGTATCTATAGGCAAGGGGTAAGGGGAACTTCATATAAAAGGGAGCCCGAAACGACCTGTATTCAGACGTGTACTACCATCCACTAGTGCAAGCACCTTCACGCCACTCTGTATAACATTATTTGGACTTAGAAAAAATATCGAACGTTAGAATAAAATTCACAATAATTAACATCTGTCTTTTATTTATTCATCATCCACGACTTCAACATCAATAAAGTGTCTGCGACCTGCAATTATAATAACTTGGTTGCCACTTATCTACTATTAGTACTACGATAGTAGGTACCAAGCCACCAAGCTTATTACAGACTATACACACACACCGCATACACTCCGTATGAAAGCGTCTGCGCAAGTGATTATTACATACATCAAAGGCCCTATTTATATGAACAATCGAGTCCATCCCGTATCCGTATATAATATAGAAAGCGATAGTAAAGGTGTTGCACAGCTATATCGTAACTGCATAAGTATCTATTAGAAAACGACATTGTACACGCACGTGTGTTTACATGGTTTGAATCAGTGGCGGAACTACATATGATTGAAGGCGGGATTTTCCGCGGGCCTCGGCGCCCCTCAGCAAAATTATGTACTTTTTAAAAAATTTCGGTTCAAGTAAATAAAATCATTGAATACTGAAATAATACAAAGTATACTGATAAGTGATTACTAAACGTGTATACTGTATACGGATAACCATACATCATAGTATTTAGTAGGTACTATTAAGGCGGCTCTTAGTGGCTATTATTTAAGGGGAACAATTTAGGCAATTTCTAATCTTGTCGTCGCCGCCCGTAATCTATGTGTTAGTCGTAAATGATTATTAGTGTGAAATTCGAAGAAATTCGAACTCGATAACAATAGATTTTATATCGCCCGGCTGCGGGCACACGGTTCAATAGCACACGTACGCGCATGCACAAGTCCACGTAATCACTCTCGAAAAATATTTTTGTACACTCACAACAGTGAAAAATGCTAATAAGCTGGCGAAAAATACACATACTTCTAGTAGTCCAATTTCAATTTTGAAAAATTATTTGAATTCGTCAGCCTCTTTTCTATGATTTGTAGGAAACCGATTTTGGATATTTTAGATAATTTACGTATATCACGGTTCCAAATGACTGCTTGATTTCTCGAATTTGACTTGCACTTTTAAGTGCTAACTAGACAAAAAGATGAAAAAGTTTTTCCTACAGATCATAGGAAAGAGGCTAACGAATCCATATATGCATTCAAAATTGAAATTGGACTACTAGAAGTATGTGTATTTTTCGCCAGCTTATTGGTCTAAATGCATGAAAAATCCAATCGTTTAGAGCCGCCTTAAGTATTAATAATTAATGTGAATAATAATATTATAATAGTATAATAATATTGTCAATTCTAGTTATTGCGATAGGGCGCGATACGATTGCGCGCGGTCCTTATCAGCGGTACCTTTTTAAGCGTACGATTGCGCGCGCTATATTATTTTAACTTTTAAGCAACGTTGCCAAATATATAGGTCCATGGTAAATCCGTAGGATACCATAGTAGATTATAGTAGATTATTTATTACTTATTTTTGCCGATATCAGACAAACTTCCCATCACTAAGAATGAATTGGTTATATTATGTATCAAAAATATTATCTTTATTGTAAATGTCCATACATGTACGAATATACCTATACTATAATCGTGCATGATGTGACTATATCAATTAACTATCAGTTGTGTTCGGTTCTAATAATAGTTTTAAAAAAAATGTGTCAACTATAATATTATATTATTTATTTTTAGGACTACAAACGGGGCTGAAAGTTTCCATAGTACATATAATGCACAGTTTAATAGTGCTCATCCACCAATATTTGTCGTTATAGCTACCCTTATGGAACCTCAGGCAGAAACAGTTACCAAATTATTAACCATTTCCAAAGGTATAATAAAACCAAAATCGAATGAAGAATCAAGGAAAATTGAAAATTTGAAAAATGAACACAAACATTATGTAAACAATAAAACACCAGAAAATTTACTAAAGTATTTGGCCATAGTTGGAAATAGGTATCGGGGGTTTAAAATTTAATATAAATATTGATTTACGAGTATTATATTTTTTCAATTATTAAATTTCTTTATTTTGTATTATTTTTTTTTAACTTTTTTATTTTTTATTATTTACGTTAATTTTTTAATTTTTTTTTAAATAACATTTTTTTTATATTATTAACTTTTTGTATTTTTATTATTTACGTAATACATTTGGCAACGTCGCACCCAATTTCACGCGCAATCGTACGCCTTTGAGTAATTAAAATGTTGTCTTTTGTTATTCGGGCACTGCGCGCAATCGTATACCTAAAAAGGTAAAACGCGCGCAATCGTACTCCGCCGTTGCGATATGCGGGCATGCGGCGGCGTTACGTGGTAATTCGGAGTGGAGCCTATAATAGCTGGTATACTAAATTATAGTAATAGAATATAGATTATATACTACGGTCTCCGGCCCAAGAAAGAAATTATTTTTTTTCATTTCATTCTAACGATTTTAATATAAGAGTGGTGTTTGAGGGTGTTTTCCGTTTGGTGTCAGAAACAACATCCAAGTTACTTAGGTAAGTAGTCTTACAATTATTTTGCATTGAAAAACAACATTAAATTGTGATTCGTAAACAATCATTGTGGTCATTGGTGTTACGTAAATACTAGAAATTTAATATTTAATTTATTAAAACTAATGGTTTTGAACATATTATTTATATATTTCATCTACATAATATATTAAATTTTAAAGAAAATTAAATAACCTTATAATTTAAAATTTTATGAAAAGTATTTAGTACAATCACGTGAGTACTGAGTTGTCATATTACTTTTATTAAATACAGGGCCGAATTTAGGGGGGCCCAGGGGGCCCCGGGACCCGGGCCTCCACAAATTGAGGGCCCCCACTAAATGTTTTTTTTACATCCAAGTATAAAACACAATATAATATTTTCAAAACGGATTTAAATCACAACATGAATAAAAATATACCCGTAAAATGCGTAAATATAAACCCGTTGGTCATGTCGTGCAGATGCAACAAAAGCAGTTGTATTTGGTTATGATTTTATAAAAGAAGCTTTGGAAGAAATTTCAAATGATCTTGAACAAAAAGACATTGTTAAAATCGAATCCAAAAAACTCAGTGAATCAATGTGTACACTTGAAGTGGCATTTTATGCAATTTTTTTGGAATGACATTTTAGAGAGGTTTGATTTAACAAGCCATCTTTTACTAGACCCGAAAATAGTTCTTCAAACTGCTGTAAATGCCCTAAATTCTCTTTTATCATTTGTTCAAGAAATACGAAATAAATATGAAGAGTACGAAGAAAAAGCAAAACAAATGTCAGGATTAAAAGATTATGCACCAATTCGTTATCGGAAAAAAAAATGGGTAACCGGATAAAAAAGCCACCGATAAAAAAGCCACGGACAAAAAAGCCACGGATAAATAAGCCATTGATAAAAAAGCTATGGGATAAAAAATCCACAGGATAAAAAAGCCACCGATAAAAAAGACATGGATAAAAAAGACGAATTTTAAATCAAGTATCATATGAATTTTCAACTCCAAAATTACTTGTACATTTCATAATAAATAATAGTATAATAATGTTAAAATTGAATACAATAATTAGTATAATTTATAAAAGTTAATATTTACAATTTAAAAATATAATATAAAATAATAAATAATTAAAATAATCGTATTGTGTAAGCAATAGCTGTTAAATATTCGTCGATTGTCCGCTGTGTTAAGCCATCACTACATATTTTATACAATTTTTCTTGCATTTTTTCATAAATTTTTTTTTTTTTTACTTAAATTGCCTATTACGAATTGGGCTAACTTTGTTTCATCTGAAGACAACTCTAATCTCATTTTCTTAATTAATGACCAAATAGAAGGATGATTGTGGCCTACTAATTTTGAAAAACGATGGTTCCACCCTTCTGTTTCGTTGTTAGTTCGATGTCCATTATCAAGGGTAGTTTGATAGACATTCCATATTGATGGTGGATAGAGTGGTGCAATATTTCGAAGTCTGATACCATTATTCGGATTATGCTGAACACTTCTGTAAGACCCATGGACATACGTGGTATCAAAATAATCTACTAAATCTTTTGCCTCCGGTGGCATAATTGTTCTTAAAAAATCCATTCCCTCTAAAACTTTGTTTTCTGGTAAAAATGCTAAACTATCGAGTTTTCTACAAAATATACTAAAATCATTATTATTTCTATACATATTTTCAAGTCCAAGATTCTGTATTTTTCTATGTGTGCTTTGAGTAAGGTGATAAAAGCACCCTTTAATACAAATATGGTTTCCAATTGTATTTTTTAATGCTTCAATCACAGCCTTTTCGAAATCCACATGTACTATAAGGGGATCAAGATAAATTTCCCTCTCATTGCATTTTTCTAATAAAATTTTAATTAATTGTTCGTAACTAGACTGGGTTTTTCTTTTTAATAAGCAAAATACAGGTGTAATAAATATTGTTTTTACTTGAATCCGTATTACATATAGTTGTTGGAATTCCGTCGGCGATAATGCAAAGTTGCCATCCATGAACCATTCTTCAGCTTCTGATAACAATTTTAAGCCGTCATCTGTGCAGGCACGTATCCAGGGGGGGGCCTGGGTGGGCCGGGCCCACCCTAAATATACTCTGGCCCAAGGCCGGCCCCCCCAAATTCAAAATATAATTATTTTTACCAATTATCAAAAATGTGATTATGCACATTGAGAGAAATCTATTGTGATTACTATTAGGTAATACAATTATTATTGTAATAATTTAATTATTATATTCGGGGAACCGTGGATAACTTTATCTGAAAAAAATACAATATAATAGGGTCTTGATACCCTTTTTAAAAACAATAATATATTAGCCGCAGTTATAAGTCTATGCTAAGTTAGCTTGCGAAAGAACTTTTTCATGTCTGAGACGACTGAAAACCTTTCTGAGGAATCGCATGACAAATGATCGTTTAAATAATTTAGCTTCAATGAGCATAAAAAAAAAAATTCTAAAAACTTAGATCTAGATATTTTTGTACAATTGTTTTCGGAAAATCATAAAAACAGAAAAATTATTTTATTTTGCACTGTTTAATATTTATATAAGTATAAGTGTATTATTAATATTTTCTACTAGTATGTGTTTTTTTTTTTTTTTAATAAATTTGAGTTTCTTTAAAAATTATATTAATTTAAAAATCGATGATCATTTATCTCTATTATTTTTGATAGTATTCAAATATGAATTAATTTTTGAAGTTAAACAATTGAAGCAGCTTATTATTTTAAATATGTATGTAGATTTATTTTTCATAGCATGAAAAATGTATCCCATAAGTGAAGATGTAGGTAATTCTATATTTATTTTTTTTTTTTGTTATCAGGTACTTTCTATTTTTGTAATTCTTAAATAAGTAAGTATTAGGTATAACTTGTTGTGAAAAAAATAATTTTAACCAATTACCAACTAAAGGTAAATTATTTAAATTAATAAGATTCTTTGTATTGCATACCCCTTACAAGAATTTCATAAAGAAAAATTTTGGAAAGTAATAAAAGGGCCAAACATTATTGGCCCCCCTAGTAGAAATTTTCTGGCTACGTGCCTGCATCTGTGGCGAAAATTGTAATACGTTCATCCGAGTTTGAACCATTGTCATATAGCAAAAATCTTTTAAAATTAGGCTCACCAGTCGTGCACCAATTACCTATTAATAATTATTAATTAATAATATATATATATATTAAATAAACGTAATTTTATCACGGAAAATATACGAGGATACACGTTTATTATACTGTTATTGTATTCACCAAAAATATACTCATAATAATTTTGTAATTACCTTCGATCATAGTAGAATTAATAGGACAGTTTTTTGATCGTTGTCTTCTTAGCATACGTTTTACCGTGTCTTCAGTGGGCATCCTAGCTTTAGTTGCTGTTTCTATTTGCGATACATTTTCCGTAAATATTTCTACAGGATTTATCATACTAGAAGAAGTTACTTGATCCTTCATTTTTTGTATACATTTAGTAACTTTTATTTCTTCTTTATCAGGTAGATGATTATGTGGATTTTTTTCTACAGGATTATCATGTTGCAATTCAGTGTACATTGTCCCTGTACACTTGAGAGAACTCGCTTTCATACAACGCCATGTTATTTTATTTTTCCCCAAATGCTTAATGACGTACATATGACCATTAAAACAAATTTTGCTACCTCCTTTGTTTGTTTTGACAATTTCCATTATAAAAATTCAAAAAAAGTTCTTACAAATTTTAACACCTTACACTTTTATTTCACGACGTTTGTACTATACACAGACTGAGCATAACGGAAACTAAATAGTGTATAAAAGATAACATTTTACCAATTTCCCAACCATATAGGTTTCGGTCAACCTATAATAATATTAGATTATAGAGACAATCACATAGTATATTATATTGTTCACATATAATACAATACTTTAGACACTAAGATACCCACACCAGTTTTAAGATAAAGTCAAATGGCAATGACTTTTATTGCTATATACCTTAATCAGTTTAATCTTTTATATTTCAAATGTATATTTATAGTATTTATACCATATATCCGGAAACGGTATTTACGGTTAAATTTTACGGTAAAATATTTGACTTATTTCTTATGGTTATAACTTATAGATACCTATATCTAAAAAGGTTTAAAAGAGTTAAATAAATGCATGTCTTTTTTATCCATGGCTTTTTTATCGATGGCTTTTTTATCCCATGGATTTTTTATCCCATAGCTTTTTTATCAATGGCTTATTTATCCGTGGCTTTTTTGTCCGTGGCTTTTTTGTCGGTGGCTTTTTTATCCTAGATCCAAAAAAATGTGAGGCTCAATTCGTTAAATAATAATCAAACAGCCGCAACTCAGTTATCACCAAAAGAAAAATTTAGATCAGAAAGTTTTATTTCAGTTATTGATCAATTGGTGGTATCATTAACTGAAAGAATAGCTGCTTACAAAACAATTTGTCAACGTTTTGGTTTTTTAAATAAATTTGAAAAATTAGAAACTTCTGAGCTACAATCTGCTGCAAATTATCTTGTTAGCATTTACCCCAATGATTTAGAATCTTCACTTGGTAATGAATTGATACAGTTCAGTTCATTTATCAGAATATATATAGAAACGCGTAAAGATAATGAGCAATGGGAAATGTTTTTATATAGGATTATTGAAGAAAATAATTTGCAGTGTACATTTCCTAATGTAGAAGTAGTGTTGCGTATATATTTAGTTTTGATGGTGTCCAACTGTAGCGGGGAACGATCATTTTCTAAAATGAAGTTAATAAAAAACCGACTACGAACTTCGATGACACAAAGTCGACTATCAGGCCTTGCACTGCTAAGCATCGAAAGCGACTTACTACGATCATTGGATTTTTCACAAGTTGTTGAAAAATTTGCGGCGACGAAATCTCGCAAAGTTATCATATAAATATATTATGATAACCATTATTATTTAAGTTCTATGTATAATATTATGACAATTGACAATGCATACCTATTATAATCTAATAAATGTATTTACTTATTTACTATCTTTATTATTTCATCACAACAAATCATTGTTTTTTCATAACCAAAATTCTGGTTATTAAATATATTATGTACTTAATCGAAAAAAATATCTACTTCTAAAGTTGGGCCCAGGGCCCCCACATTCCTAAATCCGGCCCTGATTAAATATATCGTGAACGCGAAATCCCATATCGAGTAGGTATCGACAATCTCATTATTATACCGTGTTCGCAAATCGTCACGTTATATTATATATTTATATTGTCGTAGACGCGATTGTCACGTATTATAATATATTATTCATTTTATTAGTATTTTTAATGGACGCTTGACTATTTTCCTTGACTCTCATTTAATATTTGTATACCTCCATCGAGAATCACTACATATTATTATTAACCTAACCTAACTCATATAACCGCTAAATAGCCATATTATTTATTATTGTTTTTATCTGTTGGGTCGGAATTGACTTAAAATATAATTTAAATTAATAAATATATTGTTTTAAATTACCGTGTACGCAAATCGTTTTTTTTTTTTGAAAATTATAATTTAATTACTAGTTTCCTGACTTAGTGACTTATTAACGGCATTTTACTTGTTCCTTACATTACCAGTTACTGTGGAGAGTGCAGAAAGATCATTCTCAAAACTTAAATTAATTAAAAATTATCTAAGAAGCACCGTCTCCCAAACACGGCTTAGTGGTCTTGCGATGATTTCGATAGAAAATGAGCGTGCTAAGAAATTGAACTTATCGTTATTGGTGAAGACGTTTGCTCATTGTAAATAAAATATTATTATTAGGGTTTCCGAAATTATAATTCAATAAATTATTAATTTACTATAAATTATATTTTATTTTTTATTGAATCCAAATAAACAGCTCAATATTTAGAAATTTAAATTACAGATATAGGGCCTCCAAAAAAAATTGTATCCACGGGCCTCAACGATCGTAGTTCCGCCACTGGTTTGAATACTAATATTAATTGTATATTTCAACACATTTACCTACGTTGTGAGTTCAAGTTTCCACACACACGATCAACGACATAATTTGGTGGGGGGGGGGGGGCATTCGTAACCAGTAAGTAGTAACGGCGATAGTAACTATTAAATTCGGTAGAATACGATTGAGCGGCATTTTTGGTAACACGATTGCAGAACGCTCGATATTTTTATTTTTTTTTCCAACGTTGCCGAATTTAATCAAGTGATAATAATTTGAACACGATAATATTTGTTGATATTTAGTTAGCAATATATTATGTTAATTGATATTAAAATTCTAACTGACACTCAAGCAGAAACAATATTGAAAATACCTAAATGATAGTCAATAAATACTAATATGTCTATAATATGCCCTATCCATATGGCAATATCCAATAGGTTAAGTAGATTTGGGGTCTTGGATGATCTAAAAGTGTTAGTAATTACTAATGATCTATCAATACTAATAATTTTTAAAAACGATTGAAGTATAACGAATACTAGGTACATGCGAAACATTACATATTATAGTATATTTAAATAGTTTTAAATGAATTATAACAATTTGGTGACTTTAACATCAATTTCAATGATAAGAAATCGGAAACTTTTAAAACTTTCTTTATGGACACATTCAATTTACATAATACGATAAACAATACAGCAGAATCTACAAAGAGAGTTGACGCCCACTATCAATGCAGTATCTTCAAGATAATATTTGGAAAAATTAAATCACCAACTTACGTATCATATATTTCAGTTATCACAGGCCTGTAATTTCGATTAGGTATTGAATAATATGTTTAATATAATAGTAATCGAATAGTAATACCTAATAGTCATTTTCATTTTTTTTTCACATCTACTCATTGATATTATTTATTTTTATTTTGAATGGTTCCACTAAAATGTATTTGTAATCTATAATATTTGTTGGAAAGAAACTTATCGGTTCTACAGGGTGTCCCATGACAGCACTCATTTTTTTTAAATTATTTATTACGCCCATAAGATGAGCAAAAGTTACAGAATATAGATATATATATATATACATTAATATACATTACTTTGTTGATAAAGAGTATCGTAAACACGGTGGAACATAAAAAAAAAAAAAATCGAAATTTGTAATTAATATTGTTGTCTCCGTCGCACAAACGCGTAACATATCAAATTTACGCTCAGCAATTCAAGTTGTATGCCTTTAGCTTAAAAATTAGTGTTAATCGACTTATTATGAAACTTTATGCTAAGAACATTGTCTGTGTTGTGTTGGAAGTTTTTTTACGATGATTAATAGTTTTCGGGAGAGTTATGACCATTTTTAATTTACATTTATTGCACACGCATAACTCACTTAAAAACTGAAATATCGTAAAAAAAACTTTCAACAAAACACAGATAATTTTCTCACCATCGATCAGGGACGGCGGCAAGGGGGTTAGAGGTGTTGTTTGAGATGAGTTCTCCTCCCCCCCAGATATTTTAACTCCTATTTTTACTGGTGTATTACCGTTTATAATTTTATATGATGGACACTATATTATAATCGTAAATACTAAATGGGATTACTATCTTAATTTTTCACTCTCCGTAATATCGATAAATGTGATCGTTCAAAATGTTTAAAAATACCTGCGTTCACCTGTTAGTTAGTCGGATTTAACAAACGAGTCGTCATTCTGTTAATTGGGTGTGTGTGTGTACACTTTTGCATGGTCGCATTTCGTGCATTCGTTGGTAGGTACTTGGTATAATTATTAATTAATATTCGTTGGTGTAAATGTTGTTTGATTTCACTTAAATGTTAAATCTCAAAAACTGAAAAACAATAACAATAACGTTGACGGTTGATACATAAATCATTATTGTTTCTATTGATAGAAGTGAAATTATTGTTGAGTTTGCCCTTTTGAGAAATTGACTCGCCCTTTATCGCCACCCTAGGAAAACGTACCTGCCATCAATAGTTTCATGATAGGGGTCGATTCACTCGAATTTGTATAAGCTAACGGCATAAAACTTGAATTTCTCAGCGTAAATTTGGTATATTAAGCGTTTGTAAGACGGAGACAACACATGCGGGTGTTATAAGTTGGTTGATTTTGATATTGCTATTAATTGCTCCTTACATTTTTGCTGTAATTTAATATTTTACAAATTTTACAACTTTTAGTACACTGTGCAGCGACGGTACAAAATTCCATTTTAAAAAATGTTCTGTTCAACGAAATATTTTTGGGATCTATGCCAAATTGAAACAAAATTTATTTAATTATGTATATTAAACAAAATTATCAATAATACGAATTTTTTTTGTTCCGTGATATTTTGTAATATGGAAGGTTCACTGTATTAGACACTGTTGCAAGAATAACGATTTTAGATATTTTTTTATAATTTTATAATATTAATTTAGCTTACCGGCTATGCCGTATAATTATTAATTAATAATAAGTAATAACAATATAAATATAATACTAATTATTCATTGACAAACCGTCACTGCTTAGAATCATTTTTCGTATGTACAATGATAATATATTAAATCATTGAATTAAAATGTAATACCATATATTATACAGTGACGAATGACCCACTTGAAACCTACTGTAGTACTGTACAGCAGATCGACATCCACTTACCCACCTTTTTATAAATGCACCTTATTATAATAAGCTATTAA